GTGGAAATTTGGAAATTTGGAGCCCTTGGTTAAGGGAAAGTATCTCAGTCCTGCAAGAGGTTGATTCTCCCTGCAGCTGGAAAGGGTAAAGACATCCTTAAAGTGTGCTGTATCTTCTTCCCACAGACCTGAGTGTAAGGATTTAATCCTTAATTACGTCATCAGCCTCTGCTGGCTTCCCAGCCTAAAAAGTGGGTGTGCCCTCTGTGGGCTTTGTCCCCTCTCCTCTCCACTCCTTCCTCCTGTTGGCTCCCCTCTCTCCCTCCCCCCGCCCCCCAATAAAGCTCTAAATAAGTAACTATGGCTATGATTCTTTTAATCAGCATGCTGCTCCGCCGGCATGGTCGCCGCAGGCGAGGGGCAGCGCCACGGCTTAACCAACATTGGTGCTATTCAGACTCGGATACACCACCGAGCACCGAGAACCCGCAGTAACTACTGCTGCCTCTTCCCCCATCCAGCGAGACTGTGAGACCACAAGTGCACGTCCCTCACCGCCTCCGCTGGACCCCCACCACTACCACCATGATTCCTCACCACAGTAAGTCCGCTGTTCTCGAGGCTATAGTCTGAGCTATATTCTTTGCGATGGACACCCCGGGGGGTTGTCCTTGGGCTGCACTGGCAAGGGCACATTTCCCTTTCTGAGGAGAAAGTAAATGCTGTCTTGGTCTACCGGGTGGACCAACTGCAGTGCAGCTGCAGCCCTTTGCATTCCTTGAAGAGGATGGCAAAGTTGAGCTGACTCATGGATCTCTCTCCACTCTTTGGGGACGCCCAATTTGTAGTCTGATCACAGTTTGTTATTTTAGTTTTCTTTATTTTTTCTCTCAGCTACTGTCATGGGACAAAGGGGCGGATACATTGGCGGATACGGGTGGGCACCAGTAAACCTGGCCACGTAACAGAGTTGCGGGAACTTCTGCCAGCGAACGGGCAAAAAAGAGTTACTTTATCTCCAAGCTTTCTTCTAAAATTCTAACTAAACCCTTGTCCTTCCCCACTTCTGCATCACCACGTGCAACCTTTTGCATCCGACTTCCACTGGCAGTGGGCAGGCTTAAGTGGGTGGACTTGGGCGGTTTCTACGACTCACCCTAACTCACCTTAACTCCACCCACCCATTCTCAAACTGCCTTGAGAAGCACAGACAGGTCTGGAAGAGGCTAAGATCCATACAAATAAATTTACAGTAGTCAGGATGGCTCTTAAGCAAAAAAAAAAATCAGCTTATAGCCTCAGACAAGTCTTCCAAAAGCTGTCCTTAAGCCACCAATCATCAGAAAAGAAAGAAAGAAAAAAAAAAGTTCAGGACATGGACATTGTTCCCCAGATCTCCCTGACTAAAACTTAAGCATCTGGAGAGCAAGGCTCCTGACCCCACGGGCAAAAGAGTCACCTGTGGCATTTAAGGTGTGCCAGGGAAGAGATAAAAGCCTGAAAACAAAATTGCCAAGTGCTGGCACTCCCTCACTCCCAAAAGCTGTTAGGTCCCTGTTTTAAGTGAGGAAAAGGCCACAGGCTAGCGGATGCCCTGCCAGGCCATCAACAGCCTTGTTAAAAGTGCCGCCTAGAAAGACAGAGTCAGCTGGCTGTCCCCAGGCACCAAGATGCATGGGTACATCAAGCTAAGACCTCCAACAGACCTAGGCTTGGCTACATACATGGCAGAGAACCCAGAACGCAGCAGGGAAGTGATCCATTTCTTTCCTTCTGGACACCAGAGCCACTGACTCAGTCCTGGGAGTTTTGGGATGCCACCTCTCCCTTATTGTCGGGTACAGAGGAGAGCCTTACCACCTCA